ACCCCCCTGCCATGGGCAGGGACACCTCACACTAAACCATGTCACCCAAGGCTCTGTCCAACCTGGCCTTGAACACCACCAGGGATGGAGCATTCACAGCTCCCCTGGGCAAGGGAATGATGCAATGATAATGACACAACACCCGTAATTCCCACTTTTAAACAATGTCCTACGGATATGACAGAAGTTTGTGGTAAAGACATCCCTAACACTGCTGGGTTTTAACAGCATCTGGGAAAAGACATTTTAATCATATGGACATAAGCTTTAATTGTTCCTTTTAAGGCCAGGTTGGATGAGGCTTGGAGCAAGCTGCTCTAGGGGAAGGTGTCCCTGCCCGTGGCAGGGATTGGAACTGGATGAGCTTTGAGGTCCCTTCCAACCCAAACCAGTCTGGGATTCTATGATTTTCCAACCCTAACTATTCTATGATCCTATGATTTGTCCATCTCTTATTTAACATCCACTTCTAACGCTCTTCCTCCTGAGCTCTAAACGTCCCTAATCCCTTTCCTGTGCTCCAATCTACAGTTAATTTAAAAGAGAATCAGAAGCACCGAGAGATACAGATGTAATTATGGCTCAACCCAGTCGGTGAAGGCTTGCTGCAGGCTCAAAGCTGGTGATTATGACAAGAATCTTACTATCTGGGCCAGGAGTCTCGGTGAAAATCCGATAGTAAACACATTGCATGAGGCAAGCAGCTGACATCTGCAAACGGGTGCCGTCTGCTGCTGCTTTAAGAGTACGAGACACCTAAGGAAGGAAAAGAGGTGCATGGAGTTTGGCCAGGTCACAAGACTGTGAGTGAGAGCAGGGGTTTGATTACCAAGTAAAAGGGTGTATAGGTTCACCCCCCCCCCCCCCACTGCTTCTGTTTGCAAGTGGAGGGGGGATACTTGCCATAGACACAAAGCCACTGCATCCAGATTTGGGGAAGTCTGGATGCAGAGGCAGTGATACAGCCCAGCTTCTTAGGGCTAGACCAAAGTCATTTCTACACGAGGAACCAAGTAACCTCAGAAGCCAATGATTTTGACTCAACCTTTTGCAATTCTATTTCTGCTCCCACCCTGAACCACTCATTACTGGGCAAGAAACAACTCATTGCTTCTCTTTTCATGACAACTTTGCTCCCATAGTGACTAGGAAAGCCTGTTCATCTCCTTGGTCAGTAGGTAATGGGTTTGGTGAGCTCACCTTTTGCACTTCCCACCTCTGCCATTGCTTCAGGCTCCGAAGCTCCAGCACTGCTTGGCTCCCCTGCAATCCCACTCGGGTCTGGTTTACTGAGGGTTTGGGACTACCCTCCCGGTCTCTGTTCTGATGTGTTACCAACCTGCACTTCCCATGGTTTATAATTTAAAGGCTTTACTTTAATACTGGAGTATTAAATGGAGTAACACTGGAGCGCTCTTGGTGTAAGGTTGATGGTTTTACGTGGCAGCTCAGAGAGGTCTGCTGGGCTGTGGGCTGTCACCGCAGGACTGTTGCTGGTCCTCAGGCAGACCTGGCATGTTTACAGTACAGGGCAGTGTACTGCAGCAGTGACATCCCTCTAACAGCAAGGGAGAAGGGGTGATGGAGTTAAGACCCAGAGGAACCCAGATTGAGCAGCAGATTTAGGACTCTCATCATTAAGAGAAGGAAAACCTCATCTGAGCAGCCTGAGTGCCTGCTCTGACCAAAGTACTTGCTGTATGGATGAAGGATGTAACACACTTTGACTTCACCAAGAGCTCAGCAGATTACAGTCACAGAAGTTACCCTGGGGTAGGGGTTTGTGGCACAAAAGTAGGTAGCCTTCTAAGTGTTACAGCTTCATGAAGTACATATATAAAAGTATGGGAATGAATCCATACCTTTCTAACACAAATTAGCTATCTTTAACTAGGGAAAATGCCCATCACGTTGATAAAAATGATCATTCAACCAGCATAGCCTTCCCTTTTGCTGCAAGGCGTTTAGCAATTTACATTCAAAGTGTGACACTAATGGTTAGGATAGAAAGTAGGTAACTAAAGAAGCCTACACGCTGCTGAAAGTCATGTTTCTTTTCACTGGGGTATTAAAGGATAATGTAAAGTTTAATGTTAAACAGGATTGAGAGCTTTGCTGGAGGGAGAATTACCTTGCCCCCAGTGTACACAGTAATGCTATGGCACAAGAAGGAAAATGGGAGCTCCATGAGCTCTGATTTTGGACTGCGGGAGTAGACTCAGAACCTCCCATTAAAACAGGAGCAGGGATTTTTACTTAAGGCCCCATGCAAGCCACACATTGAATGCAGCGCTCACACATTCATTAAGCACAATGAGCAATTGCAGATTGAAAGCTGCTGGTGTCTCACTTCAACCAGACAAGTGCTTTCGGGGGAGAAAGGGAACGGCTGTTGGTAATGAGAGGTTTCCAGGCTGCAAGTTTAAATGGAAAGAGGGAGCTCTTTACCCTGTCGGCAATCACGGTCCCTCTGCGGGTCCCCTGCAAAGCCTCTCCACCTACAGTATGTCACATCTCCTAAAGAAACTGTGTCAACGGCAGCTGTTTTGCACCGTTCTTATTTCTCTGAATTAGATGACAGCTGTGGGCAGTACCATGAATACCTTCAGCTCTGCATTAGTAAATCTCTGTCGCCGGTGGAATTAGTTTGGCTCCTGCTGTTGCTGTGATTTCTTTGCAGGATAAGGGGTATTCTGCCACCTTGTCTCTGCATGGCTGAAGCAATTGAGACCTGGATGCAGTGAAGATTCACTGGCAAGACCCACCTCGTGCCTCTCCACAGTGACTTATTGGTCTAGATTTGCCTCATCCAGATCCCCAGGACAGCTGTGGCTCAGACAGTATCTATCTATCATCTATCTACCTACCTATCGTCTATCTACCTACCTATCATCTATCTATCTATCTATCTATCTATCTATCTATCTATCTATCTATCTATCTATCTATCATTTATCTATCAATCATCTATCAATCATCTATCTATCAATCATCTACCTATCATCTATCTATCAATCATCTATCTATCTATCTATCTATCTATCTATCTATATCTATCATCTATCTATCTATCTATCATCTATCTATCTATCATCTATCTACCTACCTATCTATCATCTATCTACCTACTTACCTATCTATCTATCTATCTATCTATCTATCTATCTATCTATCTGTCATCTATCTACCTACCTATCAATCATCTATCTATCTATCTATCTATCTATCTATCTATCTATCTATCTATCCATCCATCCATCCATCCATCCATCCATCTATTTCTCCTAAATGGGGCCAGGAAAGTCTTTCAGGGGAAAATTTGGTGCCAAGAAACCATGTTAATGCTTTGCTAATTTTTCTCAGGTACTCCCAACAAGGCCACACTGTGCTTATGTTAAGGTACCACTATGTATACAACAGCAATGCAAATAATCAGGGCTGCATGAGAGGGATGACTCACAGTTCTATTTGTCAGCATCGTGACATCCCTGCATGTAACCTGTTACCATCAGATCAGCCTCATATCCGAATCTGTGTGTGGCTCAGAGCTGTGGCCACAGACCCTGGTCTGTGATAACACCAGGGTGTGTGTAGCTGAAATGGTCACTCACACTGAGAGTGTTGCTGTGTGCCTGAGAACTGATTTACTCCCAAATAAAGCAGTGTCAGAGCCAGAGCTGGTAGAACACGTGGTGTTGCACCTTTGCCTTTGGATAGTGAAGGGCTGGATTTAAGTGTTTACGTGAGATCCTTACTTACGCCTGACGTGCTTTTACCCCGTGACCAGGTGAGTGTTGCTGTTGAGGCTTCTGCCCTCAGCCTGCCAAGCTGTCACCTGCCACACAGTCCAAAACACTAACCTGAATCCAGATGATGGTCTCATGGATAAGATCCAAAGCTCTTTACAGCTCGCGGTCATTGCTCTGAATGCGTGCACGGAGATATTTATGGATGCTCTGGATGGATATGGATTTCTAGCTCATCAGGACAGCCAGAAGTATTTGCAAACACATACTTGGAACATGATACTTATGGATACCTTGAATAAGCCCTGGAGCTTGAGGAGGTTGTAAACCCCCTCTGTCTACCTTCCACAGGCACCAGTGAGAATAGCAATTACTCCATGGAGTAATCTATATGATGGAAAAGAGGCAGTTCTTCCCTCAGTGCCAATGCTCTGCATGCAAACAGGCCACAGTGGGGCCGTGGATGGAGGTGCCGTCCTCCAAACGGTAGGAGATGCCTGCTGTCACTTTGGACTATAAGGAGCTCCGTGCTGCCAAAGTTTGTGATGAACCAGCTATTGCAACTTCATACATCTGTCTGCATCTAGCAGATGATACCACTAATGTATCGCCAAATCAAAACCATGGAGCTGTTCCCCTGGCTGCCCCTCATCCATGATGTGTAGCTTGAAGCTGCTCAGGGCAGCGATTGCTTCTTACTGTGAGCGTTTTCACAGCTTTGGCTAACAGGGCTCTCGCTCTCACCGTGGCCTCTTGCCAAATCTGCACTGGTGCCAGGCTGTCTGAAGGCAGTTTGGATCTCTCAGCTCTCCAGGGCTGTAGCCCATCTCCAACCGCACTGAAGAAGCCTTTTGCTATAGGATTTCTTGGAAGGCTGTTTTATTACAGCTTATTGCACTGTGTTTCTTGACCTATTGGTTAACGGTGTTTCCCTTTGCCCCGCTGAGCCGCAGCCCTTAATGCTCTGCTGTCAGGGATCTCTAATCAGATCTGCTGCTCCGACGTAAGCCGAGTGTTGGTCTCCTCTAATTGCCACTGCGTCAGCAGTCACATTAAGCTGAGGTGACCACAAGAGACCTGCAAATTCCCCCCTCACCTGAGCCCTTTGCGTTCATGGTTTGGGTTTACCGACTCTCTAAAGAGCTTTCAGAGGATAAAAGCAGCATTAGTGCTGTGAGGGCTCCAGACCTTGGGGAAGGCACCGCTTGCCCGTGATGTCTAAGAAGCAAGAACTGTACCCCTGTTAGACTGCTGTGTCTGCTGGCAGTCAGTACCACAGGTTGCCAAGGGGCTCTCTGGTATGAGATTATGCACTAGAGGAGAATGAGAAGAGAGAATTCTCCTGGAATAGACATCGCTTCCCAACTCTTCTGGATCGTGCTGGAATGGAGGGACCTGCCTCCAAGATGTGCCTGCGAACTTGCTGTGTAAAAGGCTATAAACCACTCCGATTCATTGAAAACCCACCTGAGCTGCGACAGTCCCATCTCTCCAGGAGCTGCTCTTGCAGGATGATGAAACAAAGGAGATCAAACAGTATTAGCATGTGCATCTTGCCCATCATCCCCGAATATCCAGGCTTCCAGGACATTAAGGTTTGTATGCAAAATCTCCCTTTGCAGTATATGATAGCTACTACCTATTCTTCTACTAGAGTGATAATTCCCCAACTCCTGGTAAGTTGATGTTTGATATGATAAGAAGTTTTGGGCTGTGTTTTGGGATATAAAATCTTGACGTGATGGACTTCTATTCTGCTACATTAAGATGATTGCTAATTTTTCAGTTATTTTTATATATGTGAATATATATTTTAACATATATTTTAAGTTATATATACAAGACTGTTGATTTTTAAGCCAGTTAAAAACATTTGAGGTAGGAAAGAGAGACTACCTAGCAGCCAAGTTTTAGTGTTCTTCAACTGCCCACCTTATTCCAACCACTCTAGGCAGGGATATTAGATTTGCTGGGTCCCTTCCAGAATGAAGTGTGATGGAATAGTGGGAGATCAAAACTTGATTACTTTTCAGTTTACATGGCATGTCCAACCCCCCTGTTTCTCCTTTGGGCTCAATGTTTTTCATTCATTACTAGGAGGCACCATGCCAAATGCTGATGATGGAGTGCCCTACTGAGACATTGCTGGGCTCTCAAACCAGATTTGTGGCTGGACCCTTTGCAAGTATCTAGGCTTCATTAGTAATTGTCAAAAACTGCATGAATGATGGCTCTTTATTATACCAAAGGCATTGACAGGCATAATAAATGATTGTAAAGTCTTCTGTGGTCCCGCTGTGGCTGTCGTCTACATACAGTGGAGTCTTTCTCTTTATTGATTTGAAACAGCAAGTAATATAAAACAGTTCTTCAGGCTGAACTGCCAAGGTTTCTCAGAGAACAAGCCATGGTGCAGTGTAAGTTGGTGTACAGAAACCAGTGCAATACCTGGGAGAAGGAGGAAATGGTCAAGCAGGAACTTTGAAAGCCCAGGGGAGATTTAACTGTGAACATAGAAAGGCAGCCTTTTACACAGTGCATCTCTAGCCGTGTTTTCTCTGCAGTCAATAAAAGGACCCAGAGCATGGATGTTCCCCTGAAATCAACCTAAAGACCCCCACCTTGGTGTCAGCGGGGGCTGGATCAGGTCTTTTTTTGACTGTTAAAGCAGCTCAAGCATTAATTTGGTGAGCTAGAAAGGAGATAGGCACCATACAGTGGGAAAGGAGGAGAAAACTCTATGCACACTATGCTATGCTGTGGGTTATAAGGAAGAAGCTCTTCCCTGTGAGGGTGCTGAGGCGTTGGCACAGGGTGCCCAGAGAAGCTGTGGCTGCCCCATCCCTGGCAGTGTTCAAGGCCAGGTTGGACACAGGGGCTTGGAGCAAGCTGCTCTAGTGGAAGGTGTCCCTGCCTGTGGCAGGGGTTGGAACTGGGTGAGCTTTAAGGTCCCTTCCAAGCCAAACCAGTCTGGGATTCTGTGATTCTCTGGGGATAATAATGATAAATGTCATAGTTTGAAGATGTAGAAATATATTTTATGTGAACTTTGAGGTTCTTATCATAATAGAGCTCCAGGGTAATGAGATTTGAAAAGGATAAACCTGAAGCTCTGTTCATACAGGCAGGTGAGAGATTCTTTCAGAAAAGCAGGTTTACAGAGAGGCCACACAAAACTGTTACAGCCCATCAAAGCCAGTGGGAGGTGAAAACGCTCAGCATTGTTTAAGCTCAGCCCAGGAGACTTCTGTTCTGGAAAGGGATTGGTACCAAGCTGCTGGATCCTCATGGAATTTGGATTAAAACCCCAAAACCTTCCCTAACAGCCTTTTGCTGTATGGGATCATGAATGTAAGATCCTTTTGCTACTTATGACAGCACATTGTAATTTAGATTCCCTTCTCTGTTCTACCTCTAACCCTGCTTCTCCCTCCCCACCTATTTTAAACAGTTACCAAGACATTACTCCGAAACTCCAGCCTCCAACCGGCTTTTCCAGGACTTGAAAAGAGGAAAGAGCTCCTCATCCCAGCTCCATAATATTCCAAACAGAGCTCTCTTAGTCCATTGTGTGGGGAGCTCTTCAAGAGGCGGCTTGAAAGGCCACCTGCCAACCAGCAGTGGCTTCCACGACAAACCACTGCAAGAGTACTTCAATGAGAGGCTGATGGAGCTCAGGAACTACGAAAGCAAGAGGTCGAGCAGGAAGGCAAAAGCATTTGCTGGTGAGAACCAGAGCCCCTTCCTCACGCACAGAGGATGCCGACGCAGAAGCAGTTGCAGTGGTGTGGTAATGCCGGGGCATGGGAAGCAGAGGGAGGAGTCCTGCAGCTCAGCAGATCAAGGCAACCAAACTGTGATTGAGGGTAAAGATCAAGAGGAAAGCCAGGATGCCCTGGACATCTACAAGGGTGACTTCCTGGACGCTCTGACAATGCACATCACTGCTCCCCTAGAAGCGTTTGTGCAAAAGCAGTGATACTGGAGCTGGTTACAGCTTATTGTGCAGTGCTGAAAGCCAGGAAGAACTGTTCCTGCTCAGCACCACTCTGACTGAAGTAGTTCACGTGTGTCAGCCCACTCTGGCACAGAAATGTGCTTATTTGTGGGTGAAAATGTTCTCTCACCTTGTGTTCCTGGTTGGCATTACATGTATTTGTTTCCAGTTATTTTCTGCAAAGAATCAGTATAATTGAGACATAGTTGGGACTTATTATATAGAGAGCAGTGTTCTAAATACATGCACATATTAGTTGAATCCATAGAATCCCAGACTGATTTGGGTTGGAAGGACCTTAAAGCTCATCCAGTTCCAACCCCCTGCCATGGGCAGGGACACCTTCCACTAGAGCAGGTTGCTCCAAGACCCATCCAACCTGGCCTTGAGCACTTAAATGTTGAAGAATTCTTAAGTTGCCTTAAGAAAAAGGTGATCAACATCAGAGGAGCAGCTTGAGCTCTTACTTTGCACTTTGTATCAGTTCATCTGAAGAAAGACTCTTGTGCTCTGCCCCGTTACCTTGCTTGGTTTAAGCTTCTTGGTTTTATTATGTCACTTTGGACCAGCTCATTTCTGGTGATGACTTGCACAGATGTAAATCATTGATGAGAAATGATTGATTTTCAATCATTGCCACGTGTAGTCACCAGGTGGATCATTTGAAGTATCTGATGCATGAAGAAGCAAACACAGACATTAAGTTTTATTTTTCAATACGAATAGCCATTCTGGTTTCATTTGCAGGTTCAGAAACCTTTGACTTAAACACCACTATGAGGGCAAGAGTTAAACATGCCATATTTAAGTGAGAATGATGGAATTACAGAGGGAAGAAGGCTCCTTCCCTCTTTCCTAGTGTAAATATGAGAACAACATAGCAAATGCCTCATGTAATCTAACTCAATCAGTGTTTATCATGGTTATCTAAGTATACAGTGTCAGCTGCAGCTGAATCTTTTTATTATGTGAAATGTCAATGTTTAATTCCACAGTACACTGACTCTTAGACCCAAAGCAGGGCAATTTTAAGCTTCCAGAAAGTGCTACTACTGCCTGTGGTATCATCAGCAATAAATTCTTCATTAGTGTTGGATTGAATTGATGTTCTCTCTGTGCTTTCAGACGTGTTTTAATGGGAGTTAACAAGTAAGCCATCCTCCTGGCTAGACCTCATTCCTTCCAGTGCTGACTTCTCTCCATCACTTTTAGCTCCTCGTTCTTCCCATTTCCTGAGCCCGGGTGAAACTTGCCCAAGGTGTGTCTTGTCCCTTCTGCAGCTCGTGCTTTACCTCTTCCCAGTACTTACCTGTTTGCAGAAATATTTCCTCTAGTGCTCCTGGGCCTCGTAGTTCTCGCTTTCAGAGTGCGTGAGTGAATATATGCAGAGAGGAGAGGGCGGATTGAGGAACCTCTCACATCCCTCCTACCAGTCCTCTGAGGAAACAAACGTTTCCTCCCAAAAAGGGGAGGAAAACAGGCAAGATTCATTCCACATCCCTTCCCCAGTCCCGGGATCAATAGGATCTAGCAGAACCAAGATGGGATACTGAGCTCTGAGTCCTTTGTCTATGGGAGAAAGCATTGTGTGCTGAGGCTAAGTGACTTTTCCAGAACTCACAACTGCCAATGGAGGGAGCAGCCAATTGGGTGAGATTTTCCCTGAAGGGAAATATGTTTTTAGAGTTAACTGGAAGTCTGAAACACACCATGTATTAGCAGATGCCACAGAAGGGGATCCATCTGGATTTCATTGTAAATCTGCCAGAGGTTACTTTCTCCTCTAGGAGTGAATGCATAACAGTATTATGTGAGGGCATAATAATAACAGTGCAAGGGAACAATATTAATGGAACACAGGCAACCTTCATTCTTTCTTTTCTTGCCCATATGGTTTTGTGCCCTCCAATGTGTGCTTTTGAAGTTTAGGTTTGCAAGTGCCTTCCTACCTACAGGCTCTGTACAAAAGGCAAATGCCTGTCTTTTTGCTCGTGACGTTTTAATCATTATCACACCGCAATGACCCCAATTCAGCAGGTGTGGAGCATCCTAAGCCTCTCTGCAGACCCCTGCCGTATAAGCTAACAGAGGTACATGGAGCCTTGCTCTCTTATGGTGCTAGTGAGGTTTGATTACAGCAGAGGAGCAAACCTCCCTCAGATTAAGAAAAAATTTAATATTGAGAAGTTGTAAGTAAAAAAAACCCAGAAAATCAGGTAAAATTTACCCAATGGGCTAAATGGTCAAATGGGCAATGCAAGCTACTCAGCCTCTACGGCAGAGTTACTCTTCTCCACCCCAGACAAGTTGGAGCAATGATTTTTATAGGCTCTATTTTACCTTTTCCTGTACACCAAATACAAAACAGAACCACGAAACGCAACAGATTAGGCTCTTACTTGGCAGGAACTTGCATTGTCTCCTCCCCCAGAAGCATCCCATAGACCTGCAATTGCAAAGCCAGGCCCATTTATGGCGTTTTTCATCTGCAAAGCACCCTCAGGGATTAAAAAAGTTGAAGTGCGTTGTTATTAATTGGATTTCCTTCAAAACAGTGCAATGACTCTCCTGGGAGAAGCTGCACATCTCGTGCCAGAGATAGTGGAAAAGTCGAAGGAAGATTACATCTCCCAAGAGGGACCGTATCTAGATGTCGCAGCACAGAAAGGACATCGAGGTACAAAACCACCAAGAGCTGTTAGAGAAGGAGTAAAATCTCATCTCACGTCCTCTCAGATTGTTAAAATACCGTGAAAAATGGCTTGGCTTTGTTTGGAAAGTGATGATGCCCATTGACCTGCGCTTCTGTAGCCTGTTACCTTAGGTTTTACTGAGCTCAACTGTTGGATGTAGCTGCTGCTTTCATGCTGATGATCTGTTTTCACAGTGTTCTTTCATGAAACTCGATGCAAACACTGTTTGCCATTAGCAAGCTCATAAAAGTACGCTTTATGCCTCTTTGAAAAAGTATTCCTTCTCCTCTTAAAGAAGAAGCACTGCACCACGTCCCCCCGGTGGTTTTTCAGCTACTCTTTGTTTTAGCTCTTTCTGTATGGAATACTCGAGCACACTCGGTTGCTGTTGTTGTTTCCTTCTCTAAACACTTTCCCTCTGCCTAATTGGAGCTTAGGCCAAGTACTCTCTAGGGCCTCATAAATCAGACTTAACAAACAGTTCATGTCTTCTGAAGCCTGTGTCCCTGCTAGTGATTTCATCATCCTTTCCTCAGACTTACTTTTCAGGTCATAAATGTTGTGTTGGCTGACAGTTTGCAGTGCAGAGAAAGGCTGGGGATGTGAGGATGGGAGGCATCTCAAAGGGAAACACAACCTGCTTTCGGACGAGCATCTGAACCTCCACAAAGTGAGATACAACCTCAGCCTGGTTTTCAGTTCCCTCAGTCTCTGAGGATGTGATGGGACAGAGCATACAAAAGACTATTATATTAAAAGGCATCTAGCAAGATACAGGCAGCATCCCACCTCACTGTGATCATCTCCAGGATCGCAAGGACTTGAGGAAGCTCTGTTTGGTTACATGCATCATTAAAGCAAAATGTATAGTTTTCATGTATTTAAATTAAGGAATTTATTAAAAAAAAAAAAAAAGCCCAAAAAACAATCAAAACAGTGGTTTGATCTAGATACAGCAGCACTGTGACATTACTAGGACATTATGTACGAAGAATCCAAGCAGCCATAGAACACAGAAGCCTTTATCTTCAGTAACAATCTCAAAATGAAACTAGCTTCATCAAACAATGTTAAAGATCTCCCTGGAAAGAGAAACAAAACCAAACAGACCCTCCCCACCCCAACCCCCTTGGATACTAGGATGATTTGTTTTTTGTACAATACCAACAGCCACTAGCTCTTCTAATTGAGAACACTTGCTTTGATTTATTACAAAAATGATCTGTTGACTCAGTTATGAAAGACGACTTTTAAACATCGCTTCTGAAGTGTCTGCTCCTCTTATAGACTACAGTATTAGAAGCGCTTAAAAACATTGAATCCTGGATATGCTCTTGAAATTCAATCAGAAGGATATTCCATGTGTGTCTATATACCAAATATGATTTTTCCTTTTTAAAGCAGGTGAAAAGACTAACCCTAACATGAAACCGCAGGTTTACAATTCAATTATTAGTCAGATATGGGCAACCACATGATAGTTCATGAAATCTTTAGGTCTATCTACATTTGCTCAGAAACACAAAATAAAGTTTTTACAGCTTTCACCTTCAAAAGGCTAAAATGCTCAGTCTTTTAGAAGAGTGTCCAGTGTTTAAAAGAAATGCAATTGAGGGAGACCGCATTCGATACACATGAAACATAACTCATTCGAGCTTGCTGTTAAACAGATCTAACAGCCGCGTGCGGGGTGATGAGAAAGGAAAACACATTTGTCATCCAGCCACTACCTGAAATGTTTCTTCTCTGGGAGTGAATCTTCTCTGCAGGACCACTAATTCTCCAGAAAGCCTGGAGCTTCCCTTCGGAGCCCGTTGATTCCAGGCATGTGGTTGCCTCTTTTGTTTCCATAGCTGGGCAGTGAGTTGACCCAAGGTTTGCCACGGATGTGCCTTCACACAGCGTTTCACTTAGTGACTACCTAGGGATGTGTTTGCAGGCCTGGCCAAAACAATGTTATTTTGTTTCCTTCCTCCTAACTATTGATTTCCAACGTAACAAAAAGAGGAGGTGCTTGTGTGAATGCCACGATTGCTAGCTAGCTCTTAAGTTAGAAATGAATACTTTGACATTTGCACTGTCGCCTCATCTTCTGTTGGAGATGTCATACAGAAGGCAGCGCATTCTGTTTCAGTATCTCTAAGGAGTTAATACAAACCAATAATAAACGAAGAGCCTGAATTTACAAGTCATCTCCCTACTCATGTAAATAAGAGCAGCTATATTAAGCCTATTTCACTCAAATAATGAGTTGATATTGATTTGTTTTATGCACAGACACCAAAGTGCTTTCCGTTGATGGACAGAGAGCATCCCTTTGTGTTTAAGAATGGGAGAACTAAATTGCACAGAGGTTTGCCCAAAGCAATGAAGAAAAACATGGGCGGAACAGGAATACAAACCACCACTTCTGGCTCCAGTACATAAACCAAGGAGAATACATATGTGCCAGCAGTAATACTCATTTTAGTGAATAGACAGCAATCTGTTTCAAACTGTTTCTTTCATAAAGCCCATTTGACAGTACACTGGCTTAGCTGATCCAACTGCAGCAGCTTGTATTTGTATTTTCAGAGACATTTGGGGGAGGTGAGCATGTAATACTGTAGCACGCTGTTGGCTTTTGCCTTCTTTGGTGGTTTCCCTAAAGAAAATAACTTGCCAAATTCTCTGAGCCAGTTAATTTCTCTTTTCTTTTCGCAGTTAAGGACAGAAAGCTATGATCAGCCAGCACTGCAATACTCTTTAGTATAAAAGAGATGGTGTCCTGCCCAGCACACAAAAGAGAAGCATTGTTCTAAACTCATGCAGACTTTCTCTCAGCTTTAGCACGAGGGGGTTGGTCATTATTAACCTTACTCTCAATA